GATTGGGCTAGTTAGTACTACTCTAGCATTCTGTTTCGCTACTCTGAACTACGTGAATGAGGTCAGTCCTGTCAGGTCAGTCTTTGTATCAAAGTCTTCCCTGCGCCATTCAGCACCTTTTGTATGTATGAGAATGTACATTGTCTGTTGGGATTCTACTCGCACTGTATTGTCCAGTCAGTCCTTTTCATCACACTGCAGTTCCTCGGTTATTACGTACATTGCATATCTGTGCATGTAACAATAGGAGAGATCACGGAAATTACATAGCAGCTCCTCAGCGGGTGTGCCTCAAACGCCCGCTGGCGGCCTTGGCTGCACGGGTGTTAACAGAAGGCCTTTCAAAGGCGTTGGCGGAGCAGCACTGGACCCTCTGGTTGCAGCAGCGACCAGAGGGCCAGAGCCCTTTGAAATGGCTGCGACAAGGATCAGCGGTATTGAGAACCCTTTTCAGGCGGCGGCTGAAGGTGCAGAGAATTGCCTGCGAGTGAACAGGTCGGGAATTCCTTGAAAGGAGGCAGGCGTCCCTAGACGGCCCTAACCCGGTCAGACAGAGGAGGAATGGTGGCAGGACAGAAGTCTGGCCGCTGCTGAGTGGCAGCAGTGGTTCGCAGAGGACGTAAGAAGAGCAGGATGGATAGCCAAGGTAGGGTGGGTGCAGCTAGAGGAGAGGATTACCCGTTGCTTCTTCCAGGTGGTGCGACAGTGCCATACAACTGCCACTATGCATCAACTCAAACACCCGTTCCAGGAGGATGCTCTGGTGGCTGTGAGGTCTTCAGAGATCTGGCCTACACTGTCCAGTATGAGCAGTACTTGTTTACAGAGGAGCAGTGGACTGAAAAGGATATGGAGGAACGGCCCGCAGGAGCAGTACGGAATAAGGTGAGGGTGAAGATAACACAAGAGCAGGAGCAGGCAGGAGCCAATCACCCCCTGGGAGGTAAGGAAGGCGGTCATAATCCTTCCCAACAGGAAATTCCCTGGCCGGGATAGGATACCATTGGAGATGTTAAAGGCCCTGCTCAATAACTTTGGTAAGTACCTGGCCTGGTCATACAATGAGCCCTGAAAGAAGGGAAATACCCCCAAGGCTTTGGGGAGCCCTATGTTACCTTGGCCTTATAGAAAGGAGGCTGAATAGAGATACGAAATTGGCACACCATTGCGGTGCGTGTAAGATCCTTTCCAAAATCCTTGCAAATCAGCTGGTTGAGATCACTCTGGCAGTGATTCATCAATCACAAACTGGATTCGTCCGGGCAGGGTACCGAGCAAAATGTCGCGCTTGTCTCAATAGATGTCTACAAAGCTTATGTTAGAGTGCAGTGGTCTTTCCTTCTGCAGGCACTTAAGGCACAAGGGGTTGGGGAAGACTTTGTCATGGGTCTGGCTTCATACAGCCACGGTCGCCATCAGAATCCTGTACGTGGATGACATGATTCGGGCCAAACCGCAAATCAAGGGCCTTCAGGTGGGGGACGAGGAGGTCCGATCCTCCACCTTTGCAGACAACATGGGAGCTGTGGTGCAGGCCATGTCTGAGCACCTCAGAGAACTTTGGCAACTAATAACAGAATTCATGGGGTGCCGGCCACGTGTATGGAGGCACGGGTCAATTGGAAGGAGTTGCTAGTGATTCTCTGCTAGTGATTCTGGCTCCGGCAGCTGTGGTGAATGATACGGGAGGCATTCAGGTGGTGCCAGGGGGGATGTGCGTAGGCATCATGATGGCAACCGAGGGCACGGGGGAGAGGCAGGTGGATGACCTCATAGCTGTGGTGGTAGAGCGGGCAGCGGGATGGCTGGGCCGGCAGTCGGCAGGACTGTTTGGCCGTGCAATTCTCATCAGTAACTCCCTGCTGGCTATCATGTTGTATGTGGTCGCGACTCACGCTCTCTCCGCTGCTCAGTACAGGAGCCTCAATGGAGCTATAGCAAACTTTTGTGGTCCGGGGATCCAGCTGCCGATGCCACAATTTTTTATTAAGCGGGTTGCCTGGATCAAACTGGTACATCCAAAGACAGACCGGGGGCTGGGCATCCTGGACCCCCAGTCTCAGGCTTCTATGCTGCAAGCACGGGCAATCTTATGGCTACTAAACGATGATGACGATTCTGATTGGAGACGGATAGTTAGAGGTCTGCTCGCGGACACACTGCGGGTGGACCCTGCCTGGGTATTCACGACTCTCACATCTACAGGCTTACTACGAAACCTGAAGCAGGGTTTCCTTTAACCTCGGGATTGAACCTGCAGCTCTTCAGATGGTGGACCAGATTTTGGACCAACCACTGTTAGCCAACCCATGTATTCTTATGGAAGATAGACCCATGGACGTGGCAGGGGATGCCAGGGGCATTTGGGAAGCAATGGTTAATGAAGGGGGGGTCTTTCGGGTGGGGCACTTATGGAACAGACAACATCCTAGATGGGAGGAGGACAATGTTATTGCCTCGTGCTTGCCTCACCAGGTGGCTAGAACGCAAAGGCTCGCAGCCATGAAGGAGGCTATTCCCCCTGAGTGGATCAAGATGCTCACGAAGGATAACAGGGTGCAAGGTGAATGAGTGGTCAACCAAGGGTTATTTCACCCGGTGATGGTGTACCGGATTAAGTCGAGATGGGCACAGGGGGTATGAGGTGCAACCATGGCGGGCGGTGGATGGACTCGAGTTTCTGGTGCTGCCAGCTGGGGGACGGCCACAATACCTGCAGCAGGAGGAGGTGTATCGAGTAGCTGTTTAGCAACAGACAGGCAGACCTGCCCCTGCCCGACCATACCGAATCGGCACCCCGGCCGAAGAACTTGAGTTTGATTCTTGAAACTGGCAGTTACCTGCCCAGGGCAGTCTGAAACATGACCAATTTCTGCACCACATTACCACCAAAAATCGGCAGCAGTATGATGTGTGCGCGGAAGTACACATCAAGGTGGGCAAAATGGCGATTGTTGACCAAGCAGGAACTCTCCTCTTGACTGCCGAAAGACTTGCATGCCTTCCTTGGCTTATAGTGCATCTGAAGGTACCTACCTTGCAATGGCTGTCGACTAAAAGTCGGCACAGGGAAGCGACCTGTGTCTGTGCCATCTGTCACGGCCAAGATGAAATGCTGCCTAGTGCAGCCTCACATGTTTATCGACTGGCCCTGTGTGGCAGAATTTCGGAAGAATTGAGAAGCACACGCCATAATTTGCCATTATATTATTAGGACCCCTTCTGCAAGAGCACACACAAGGGCAAACACAGGAACAGACTCGGGCAGCAGAAATCTTGAGGGCAGCAGCACAATGGGCAGTGTCACCTTGTAGGAACGACGCGGTAAGGGAGGGAAGGACATCCTCTTCATCCGAGGTTATGGCCTACGCCCAAGAAAACATCAGGACTGCTCTGCAACTGGAGTTCAACAACGAGCTTCGACGCAGCCCTAGGGATGCTCCTTTGCAAGGGACGGCGTTCCACAAAACCTGGGGCGGGTATGGAGCCTCAGTGGACCTTGACCAGAGAGCTAGGAAATTAGCATTCAGCAGGGTTGCATCCCCGCCGACCGTATTGTACCGACCGGTCGGCGGTAGCCGACGGCTCAGAAAACAGTCTTCCTCTGATTTTTTTTTTGTTCTGACTTCGGGTCTGTACTGCGCTTGCTGAGTACAGCCCAAATCCGCTGAGAAACTTTGGTTTCGGGGTGGGGGG